TGGAGTGGCATGGGATTCAATCGAGGGTCAGGAGATGACCTGTACACCGACCTAAGGGTGACTGGAACCGTGTATCTACTTGAGATTGGGTGACACATGCTGGGGACCGAGATGACACTAGGGTATGGGCTGCTGCCAATCTTTCCGAGAGCGGCCAGAGCGTTGAATCGAATAGGCCAAAAAATTTGAGGAAGAAGGAATGTAGGGTTGAGGACTCGGGTGGAAATAGGAGGATGGCGAGAGTTTAGAATGTCGATGGCGGGATTGTGGTGTCGAGTACCCCACTTTACGATAGACTTGGTGTTCGGGAGCCTCGCAAGGGCAAGGGACCTGGTGAATGCAACCTTAATCTGGGTTCACCATTTCCAGCCTTAGACGACGGGAATGTTTTACGATGTGTAAGTGAAGCACGGACTGTTTTGGGGGAATCGGATGTGGGAATTGCTAGAACTCATCGAAATGTTGATATCCAGGACGCCACGTCTGGCTTATGAAGAATATGAGCCAATAATTATTAGGGAAATAGGAATGGGAGAAAACTACCTGGCAGGGGTCGCTAGCCTGTTTGAAGAGCCCGTCGAACAAGACGACCCTGAGGAACAGGAGTGAGAAAAGACCAGGGAAGGTGGCCAAATATGAATACTAGCTATGAATTGTTGAACAAAGGCGAGAATAGCGATCGGCGGAAGATAGCAGCCGGAATCCTACTCTATGTAAGGGTGCGTCAGGAAAAGGACTAGGATGGTCGCTACAACCGAGGGTGCTAGAGATGTCCAAAGGTTGGAAAGGCAAAAGGTCATCTCCGAAAGTGAGACCCACCCGCCATGGACTCGCGACTTTAGAGCCGATGCGCGGTGGTGTCAAAACGCCGACCCATAGCAGCGGGCTTTCCGACAAGAAAGGCAAGTGATAGCCCGCGAACCGGGAAAGGAGTGCAGACCTGTTACGACCACCATAAAAACAGAAATATTAAAATGCCAAAGATAGGGAGACTATGAAACCGACAGTAAGCCTTAGGGCCTGGAAACCCTAATAACTGTGAACAATCGACCGTTTTGGGAATTCTCCCCCCCCCTATGTGCAAGATTAAAAAAGGATGACGACAAAGGAAAGCAGGGGGTCTACGAAGCGAGGGGAGTCAGGGCATAGAGAAGGATGAAGAATAGAACGACGGGTCCATACAAGACCGACAGTCGACGAATCCGGAAGGAGGGAAGGAAGGAAGGAAGGAAGTTGCAACCGGGGAAAGCCCATGAAAAGTCGGCGGAAGCAAACGAGGAACTGAAGAAACCAGGGGGGTAGGGATAAAGGCAGCCCGATGCCACGGGCATCGGAGGGCGCACTGTCAAAAAAGGTGAGGCTAACGGACACTCGAAAGAAATTAACCGAAATACAGAGAAGAACGATATAATATAAAGCAAATTCATGAAAGACATGATGAATGAGCGTGAGGGGGACTCCACTGGAGAAAGGCTGTGCGAAGAGCAAGGGACAAATCCGGGACGAGGAAGTCGAGACGATATCATATAAAGAAGAAAGGGTAGGACCGAAGAACGCAGAGAGACGCCGATAGAGAAAGGAAAGGAGAGAACGGAGTCTCTGGGAAGGGAGACAAAAAAGGCTACCAACCCACCTACTATAGACAACAAGGCAAATCGACCAGCAGCCTCACCCATAATTGCAAGGAGGTGCGAAGGACTTTGGAGCTTAAGAGGGAGGGTGCTAGGGTAGTTTGACCCGAAAGGGACGATAAAGGCTGGAGAAGGGGTAGAAGCCGGTAAGGAAGAACAAGGCTCCGGCGCCACCGATAGAACAGGAGGAGCCGATGGGGGACTTAGAAAAATGGTGTCTTCCCTCACGCGGGCGCTAAATAAAAATCAAGGGGACTTGGCCGATGCCAAGAAGAAGCTGACGTTCGATGGAGCAAATATCACGAAATTCCTGATAGACTACGAGAACCTGGCGGAACTACTAAGATGGAGTGAGGAAAAAAAGATGGAGCACCTAGGACAGCATGTGTCACGGAACCTAGGAAGGGACATAATGACCATCGTCGCCACCAACAGATTTTGGAAAGAGGTCCGGGACGCAATGATGAGAAAATACTTGGAAACCGAGAAGATGGCTACGGAGACAGAGCTGGCTGCGGTGCAAAGAAACAACTTTGCTACGTACAACGGTTTCCTGAGGGAATTCACCCTCGTGACATTGCGAATTATGGGGGTAACCGACCTCATAATGAGTAATTACTTCCTTAGGCAATTCATTGAGTTCGATAAAGACAAGATCCTATCAGCCTACCAACAAACCACAAAGTTTATAAACACAAGGGACGTCGATTTCAGTACCGTGACAGACACTGCTGAGAAGATGGTCATAACCGACTCATTGACCCTGCGGGAGGAAGGAGAGGTCATAGACTTAACCGGTAAGACAAGTGATAAGGTAAAAAAAGGGATAGAAAGTCTGCATGAGCGTGTCCATGGGGTAGATGGAAAGATCGAAACGGTAAATAATACATTAATGGTAATGCAAGTCGAGGTGACGCAAACCCAGGCGGTTCGACCACCCCTACCACCACAAGAAGTTGTGGCTCCCACGGGAATAACTAATCGAGGGTTCAATACAAGGGATCCGGCCAGTAAACAATGCAAATACTGTACGTTGTTCAGACACTTCCTGCAAGCATGTCCAAGGCTCAACCACGATATTGCGTACAAAAGGTGCTCTAGGACGTTACGAGGCGAAATCATAGGCCCCCAAGGAGAGAAAGAAAATTGGAACTCCCCAGGAGGGATGCGATGGACCACACTTGCACTTAACAACCTCGACGTCGCCACAATAGAAGTTGAGCCTGTGGCGAACTCGCTTGGGAAGAGGTGCGGGGACGCGGGCCGCATGTCAACTTTAGCTTATAAAATGACGGCCGAGATCTGGTGAACATGACCACCAGGCAGCGAACAACAGAAAAAAAGGTCGTACATGACACAATTATGGAAGATGCAGGGGATGGCTTGGGAACACCACAAGAAACGGAGGCGTATGAACAAGAGAGGGTTTATGGAAAACCTAGAGAAGAGACCCCGATAGACATAGCAACCTCAGTCAAAAAGAAATTCCGATATCAGATTCCCATCCTGACCCGGATGACACCCTGAGCAAGCTGCAAGGGACCATGGTGTTGGTCTCGTTTCAAACCATGCTACAAGCAAGCCCTAAACTCCTGAAAGGCCTTAGGCAGCTACTGACGAAGCGAAGAGTAGAGATGAAAGAAGGACCGAAACTGCAGGAAGAACAAAAGAAAGAGGAGGCACCGCGAGAAGTGGCTAACCTCAAAAGGATTCTCGAGGACCTGGAAGACCTAGAGAAGGCCTTCGCAGACATCTGGCTAAGCCTAACAGACCGCGAAGGTGGCGAAATTATGAGGGCACCACACCGAACGAAGCTTAGTTTTCATGCGCTGCTGATGGGCAAGTTGAAAGTCTAGATTGGAAGCCACCACACCGATGCACTGGTAGACGGAGGGGCTGAGATCACGCTCATTATGAAGGATTTCGCAAAGATTACGGGATGCCTAGTAAACAAGGAGACAACTGGAAGCATCCACGGAGCAGGTGGGGAAATTCCTTTATCCGGTTATATTACTAAGTTTGCAGCCAAAACCGGAGTTAGGGAGTCAATTTAGTCGTTCCAACGGATGACTGTCATGGATGAAATGGACCACGACATAATCCTTGGGAGACCTGGGTGCGCAAATGTGGAAATGATAGGAATGCACATGCATGATGGGACATACATGGTAGACATAGAAGATCCAGTGACGGGAAGTGGGAAATTGCTCCGTCTCATTGGGACAGGGGGTGACACACCAAAAGGGAAGCTAGCGACATGGTTACCATCGTTCGAGGAAAGTGCCAGAAAAGGGGGCCTTCACACGGATGGAGGGAATGAGTAAAAGGGTAGAAATTATGATCGAATAAACTTTCAACAAGAAAACATGGATAAAAATAGCTGGGTAGCACAGCAGTGCCACCCGGATTAAGTGGCCGGAATATCCGGCCTTATCCGAAAATCCGGATAAACCGGAAAAAGGCCAAAAAAAAAAAAAAAGAAAAAAAGAAAAAAAAAACGTTTGTGCGAAATGAGGGCTACCCGAGTTACGAACCTCGGAGCTTTTTGGCCAAAAACAATTTTGTGGGCACTCGGTGTGTTCATGTGTGTATTTCTGGTCCCCCAATGTATAAAAGAGTTAGGGAGGGGGGGGTGGGAGGGGGTCAGGGGGTTCGCGGGGGTTCAGGAGTGGAGATACCCACACCCATACTCGCACACACACGCAGCCACATACACACGAGTGATTGACTTGTTGATCTGCATTATCGGAACGCGGGACACACATTGTATCCACACACACACACACACACACATACATGCAAAGCCTGAGTCAGGTACATTGAAAGCCAAATTAACGTCCACACGGGCACCGAAAGGCAAAGTGAGGTTGACATGCAGCAAACCCAGACTGAAAGCGTCCACACACACACTGAAAGCCTAAGTCAAGTACACAAAGACACACACTGAAAGCCTAAGGAAGGTCCACATACACACACTGCAAGCCAAAGTACGGTCCATGCACACACTCAGAGTGTAAGTAAGGCCCACACAAGCACACTGAAAGCCTAAGTCATGTTCACATACACAACAAGTGCAAGTCATGTGTGCCCCTCTCTCTCTCTCTCTCTCACACACACACACACACACACACACACACAAACACACCTACCTCTCTCTCTCTCTCTCTCTCTCTCTCTCTCTCTCTCTCTCTCTCTCTCTCTCTCTCTCTCTCTCTCTCTCTCTCTCT